CCCCACTCCCAAGGTACCATAATGTGTTAGTCTGGGTACTTTAGAGAAACAAATCCACAGAAACTCATGTATAAGAGAGAGTTTTATATAAACAATAAGTGTAATCCAACCCTAATTGATATAGTTAAAGTTTATTGTGCCAACCTAGCTGATAAACACATGTGGGGTTCACTGAAGGGCAGAAGGATAAATGGCTTGGTGAACCTCGACTTCCTAGTTCTCGGGTCTCTTGTTTTCTGATGGTCGGACCAGGGTGCAGCTGCCTTAGCCAGTTCCCTGCTTTAGCCGGCAAGTTTCACTTCCTGCAAGACATCCCTGAGAAGAAGCTGCATGAACCTACCCCGATGCAGCCCTGGGTGCTGGAACAGCCGTGTGGAGACCCTGCCAATACTGAAATGCTTACGCATTCACTGACTCGGCTTTCCTCCTGCAGTCGGCATCATTGTGTGTGTTTTGTGAGATGAAGGAGGACTTTGTGGATTGGTGTTGGACATGTGGGTTAACGAGTTAAGGTTGGACTTAAGGGCTTGGGCAGCACTGGGTTGGGATGTTTTCTTGATGTTCACTTAACCTTTATATAAAACTCTCCCTTATACATGAGTTTCTGTGGATTTGTTTCTCTATAGTACCCAGAGAGAGAGAGGGAGCTATTAATCCATACATTTAAAAAAAACCTGAATTGTTATGGTATATAAAAATGATCTGCATAGACAATTGTCGACCATCCCCTAGGCAACAATGGGCCATTGCAACCTGACAGTATACATTGCAGTTTTCCTGTGTGAAGCGTTCCAGCATCCATCTCGGGCCTCACTGACAGACTTCTGAAAGAAATATCCCCACTACATGTTGAAATTCAAAGCTGAATCTTTGGTTTTTATCTTGTTTATTTCACACCCACACAAAATATTTCAACATCTGGAACAATAAAAAAAGGAAGCACATACTAGCTTGCATTTCAGCTTCTTGAATTAATGGGCACTGTAAACGCGGGACGGACTCCCATTAGACAGCACGTTGCTATGGTGCAGCCAATGTCTGTATGTCAGCTGACTGTCACAATGAACGCAGCTTCCCTTCCGGGGTGATGGCAGCATTGCTGATCATCCCAAGTGATGGAAGCATGTAACTCAAGGTGTGCTCCGAAGGAAGCGTCTGCCTGCTCTCGGAACATGTACACGTTCTGTGTCTCCCTTTTACGTGAGTTTACTACTCTTTGTAAAATTAATACTCAGACTCCCTGCCACTGATTTCATCGTGACGCTATAGCAATGTGCTTATTGAAAAATCAGTGTATGTCTAAAATGTGTTAAGTAAAACCACATATCTCCCTCTTCACCACTTCTCTCAAAATTCACCCTTGGTTCAGAACTGGCTGCTAAATCTTCCAAATGTGCCTGTGAAGGTATTTTCATTTCTAATTCTAGCCTGGCATCTTATATGTCTTTATTATGTTCTAACCGTTCAGACAGCTCAAAAAATAGATCAGGCCAAAAGGTAAATGCTGCCATTCTTAGGCCTCCCCATTCCATGTATCCGTCTTTGTCGCACGGCAGCTTTGCTCCAGTCACTGAAGGTGCTAAGGCCATCGTGGTGGCATCTGTCTCAATCTACAAGCTCACATGAACTTAACACAAGGAGGGTCTTTCAGAGCACTAAGTCACCATGCAGCTGTTCACTCTGCAAGACATCATAATGAAGGACCATATTACACTGCCATTGGTACCCAGGAAAATAGAATCAAAGTATATAAGCATTCTGATTAGGATTCACTGTCTAGGGATCGGGTTCTCAACCTTGACAGCAACAGGACCCTGATGTGAAGAACTTGTGAACCCCCCACACACACACACACACACGCACGCACACACACAGGGAGTGAATGCACAGTCCAAATTTAGGGAACACTGCTCTAGATGAAGCTACAGCTCTGTGTTTGGACAAAACCAACTGGAATGAATGGACATCCATCTCCCAGGCGAATGCTCCTGATTCCACAGAAAGGGAGACGGTGGTGCCCGAGAGGTGGACTGGGGGTGTAGATAGAGCAGTGTGCTGTCTCACCCAGTTAACGGTTCTGACCAAACCCTCAGATGGCCAAAAGACATTTTGACCTCTGGAACAGAATGGAATTTCTTGGAAAAAACTGTGAAATGAAACAATTTTCTCTTAATTGCTCTCGGCCCTGTCCTTGAGAACCGTTTAATGTTTTTGCTTTGTTTTCAAGCCCGTCTTTCTCCAAAGTTAGGCACCCACAGATGTCTGAGAGCCGCTTTACACCAGGCAGGGGCCTAGGTATTATGGAAGGGAGAGTGTACAGTAGTGGTAGGAGTAGTAGTAGTGGTAGTGGTAGTAGTGGTAGTGGTGGTAGTGGTAGTAGTAGTAGAGGTGATACTAGTGGTAGTGGTGGTAATGGTAGTAGTGGTAGTTGTAGTAGTGGTAGTGGTAGTAGTGGTGGTGGTAGTAGTAGTAGTAGTAGTGGTAGTAGTAATGGTGGTAGTAATAGTAGTAGTAGCAAAGCGTATGAAGAAAATAAAAAGCTAATAGAGTGGGAAGTGCTGAGTACACTACTTCATGGTCACTTCATGCCTTGTCTTTGTGCCTAATGTTCTGCCCACCTCCTAAAATGCCAAGAATCTGCTGACCAGGCAGAAATCTATACACCGTATAGACACAAGTATAAGCCGACCCGAATATCGGCGGAGGCAACTAATTTTACCACAGAAACTGCATAAAAAATGTGAAAAACTCAGCTTACACACGAGTATATACGGCAAGTAGCAGCATCGTTCATCTTCTCGTTGCTACATATTCATGTCATGATAGTTTTAAGAAGAAAGAAGAGGAAGAGGAGCAAGAGAAGGGAGAAGAGGAGGAAGAGGGGAAGGAAAGGGAGAGAGGGAAGAA